AGTTGAATATTGATGAAATAATTCCAGCAGTCTTTTGGACAGAAATTCAGCCTAGATGAAACAGAAATAAATAGTTGGACAGAAAGACAAACACCAAAAGTTTGTGTGTGTTCATAGTTGTGTTCATCCTGCCAGTAGAGATAAGTCCTTTCAAGTGTTTCAAGTTGCACATTAAAACTCCATTAAAATAGGAAACACATTGAGCTTAACAGCAGTAGAAAACAAGAGGTAGTGCATTTATGTGTGTGTGTGTGTGTGTGTGTGTGTGTGTGTGTGTGTGTGTGTGTGTGTGTGTGTGTGTGTGTATGTACAGTATATTCATTGGAATGTTTTTGTGTCTGTGTACAGGCACAGTCTCAGCCAAATCTAACTGGAATCAATCCATACTCCAACAGCGAGCTTGGCCACGTGTGCCAGGTGCTACTCCACTCCTATTGTTACATGCTGACCTTCATCCTCTCATTTCAGAGACTCCATTTTCCTTCTTCCTTTTTTTTGTATTTTAAAAAGGGAAAAACCTTCATTTTGTATCTGTGTCTGCAGCTCCATTATATTCGTTTGTCTTTAAAATACCCTCAAGGGAGTAGAAAGAGATCGCTGTAAAAGACTAAAGCTGGCACTTCATTACCGGAGTACATTAAAGATTAAAGCTTTAAGGCTACAGGTTTGTCTGTGAGACAGAACGAGACTGAAAATGAGAGAGAATGCAAGAATAGAGTTAAGATGAGAGAAGAAAAGGAGATTTAGACTTCAAGAGAAATTTAACAGATAATAAGGTTGTTTTCTGAAGTGCAGTCAGTGTATTCATAATTACAACACCTATTTCCCCTGATTATTTTTTCTACAGAAGACACTTTAGGCTTTAAATATGTGGACACTGTCAATATATAAAGTTATTTTAAAAGCAAAAAAAGTAGACATGATGTGTTCAGTCTCTGCCTTTTTTTTTCAAAAGATGTGTCGCACTCCCAATGACTACATTTTACTGACCTAATAAAAACGAGAAGTCTTTGAAGTCCTCCTTCAAGGGAAATCTTCATAAAGTTCAAGTTATATTCAAGGCACTTCCAACTTTGTGTCAACAGTTTAGGAGTTCGGTAAGGAAAACTTGACAGGCCTTTGGGATGAGCCATTCTTTATGGCCCAACATTAGTGACCATCCTCACTAATGATATTGCGGCTGAATGGTAGCTAATCACTGCTGCAGAGCTCCAAAGTCTTGTGGAAATAAAGTGTTATTTATGTGCGGGTCCCTGTTTTATTTTCATCATGCAAGCACATGCCTCACATCCTGCTCTCAGTTCCATGCTACTTCACTGATTGACAGTTGGCAGTGATAATCCAACTACTGTACACATGAAACAATATACCAATAAATGCAGGGACATAGGAGATTGCTAGCAAGTAAACACTGATGCGAAAGAGCAGGAAATTCATTCAAAACCCATGTTAGACCTTGAGGATACAGAAATGTGTTAAGTAAATAACGTGTTATTTTGAAGACATTTCATATGCTGCTCTTTTCCCATGTTTGATGTAATGGCATTTGTAAGTTATAGTTAAAACAAGTGGGGTGCAGGTTTGCGCTTAAACACCCTGAAAAATATGTTTAAAGTTAATGATGCAGTTACTGGTCAATCTCATTACAGTCTATTACCCTCCGCAAAGAGATCAGAGCCAGCTGAAAGAGCAGCACACTGAGATACAGTATCGTATTAAACCTATGGTGATGATCGGCTTGATCCCCTTGAGCGATCTCTAGAGTCTCCAGCCAGTACCAGTACTTGAGTGCAAGCAATATACATTTTATTAACAGGTATGTTTTTCTCATCTGCCTCACTCTGTTAGCAGCTGGACCGCACTGCTTGTGATGTGAGATCCGTGACTGAAGCCCTCTAAGTGGTAATTATCAATGGTGTGTGGATAATCCATGTAGTTCCTTATGGGTAATGTAGTCCGATCACGTTTTCCTGGCTGCGAACGCACTAGAGGGCAGATTGGCTCAGCTCTTTGATCATAACAAGGCCGTTGAGAAATTTCTTGATTTACCCTGCCTTGATCAAATGAAGCTTATTTTGCTTAGAAGAGTGACCACCCACATCAGAAGCAGCTGGTGATGGTGTGCATTAGTTATATCGCACCAGAGAGTATGTACACCCATGTTGGCCTGAGGTGGTGAAAGGTCTAATGTTCCTCTGTATGTGTGGTACGTGTGTGTGTGTGTGTGTGTGTGTGTGTGTGTGTGTGTGTGTGTGTGTGTGTGTGTGTGTGTGTGTGTGTGTGTGTGTGAAGAGAAACGGAGGATAATCATCTTACCACACTCCTTCATCGGTTCATCAGACCAGTCCTTGCAGTCTTTCACATTGTCACACACCTTGCTGCTGTCAATACACTCCCCGTTCTTACAGCGGAACTTTTTCTGCCCGTCACACTTTGTAACTGTGAAGAGGACACAACAAAGTTAGGAATCAGGGTTTGAATTGAACAAACCGTGTATAACATTCAAGTTAGTGACACTGTTGAACGCAAACAGACACAGTGGCACAGTACATGACAGCTTCTACACACAAATATACAGGTGCATTAGAAAGAGTACAAAAACACACTTCAGGTTCAAAGCTAGACTTTAAACATTTGCTTAAAGATCAATATTCCTCAAATGCAAAGTTTCTGAAAATGACTTCAAACTGTTCTGTTTTATAATATGCACACTCAAGGTCATGCATACACCATATGTAGACATTAATTTGATATTAGGCCTCTTAGACTATCTTTCCTCTATGTTCTGGTTGAATTAGCAGCACAGACCTCAATTCTTTAAGCAGTTTCCAGAAAGGTCAGATTTCACTTGTGCAGCCAACTGCAGCCATCTGTGCTACTCTATCCCCTGTGAGTCTTGTTGGTAGTATCACAGTTGTAAATAGATTTGTTGGGGGAATCAAGTATGACCACAATGGCAGTGAAAAATGCATGAAGCTAATGATTATAGATATCAGATATCTCTCTCTCTCTCTCTCTGCTCACGGAATATGAATCTTATTCCAACATTCAGATGAAAAAACTGAGTTCTGACCTCCCGCATTATATACTGTAAGTAAAAATGTATTAAATACAGCTGTGTCGTTGTTGTTCAATGGCTTTTAGTCATCTGACACTTACTGTTGACACAGCCGGCTTCATCACTGTAGTCCGGACAGTCGTGAACTTTATTGCACTGTTTGGTGCCGTGGATGCAGGATCCATCGCCACACTGGAACTCATCAGGACGACATGTGAGCAGGGCTGGGGACACAAAACAAACACAACTTATATTAGAATAAGCTTTTTTGTTTCCATAACAATTACAGTAAACTTGTAATTTGTTGGTGTTACAAATACCGGTATTGGCAGTAGGCTTAATGTTTCTAAATGTAAGTTTTTATACCTTGGAAATTACACACATATAATATTGTGTAAATAATCCAGTGCCCTTTAAACATGACTCATTATTTCTGTTCCCACTTACTCTACCACAGACAAATCAGTGGGATTCATCTCACAATTAAGCAATAATAAACAAAGTTAATGATCAATTTGAGTCTTTTCACTTGACATATTATTAACAAATATCACGATAATATCGCAACCATTAGTTCATTTGGCATGGATAATAGAGTTATGAAAATCTGATATCATTGAAGCCCTATTTGGTCTCATTATGAGAAGATGTAAAACCCAAAACAACAAAGAACACAGAGTCACTGGTGGAGAAAAAAAAAAATCTTAATCATTCCCAAAAGTGTACTCTAATTAAATATCTATATCCCTGTAAAGGTGAAGATTTTACACACATAAAAACACACACACACAAACCCCCAACAATAATTTCATCATATCTCCCTCAACTGTATCTATGAAGATATGCACTTCTGTGTTGCTTTGCTTATTAAGCCAACTCGGAGTGCATCCCAATCCGAAAGTAATCAGTCACACGAATACCTGCACAGATAAAAGCCGATGGAAATAATAAGCAAGCAGGTATTGCTTCATCAGCTAATGAAAATCCACATCTATCCATTATGTGTGTGTGTGTGTGTGTGTGTGTGTGTGTGTGTGTGTGTGTGTGTGTGTGTGTGTGTGTGTGTGTGTGTGTGTGTGTGTGTGTGTGTGTGGGTGTGNGCAAAACACAATAGCAGCCAGCATATGTAGTTCTGGGGGGGCGTTCAAGTCCAGTTTTGAATAGTCTGCCGTGGTTTCGTTCCATTTCAAAGAGCTTGACGCTCGGCGTAACCTTGGCGCACTGCCACTCCAACATCCAATCTCAGAGCTTGAAGATTAATCACGGGGCTTGTCAACGGGACTGTAGTCCCAAACGATAGCTGGGGATTATGGGTAGTGTAGTGTCTTCGGCCATCCTAAACTGATTTTTTTTCCGGACATCATATCGCATTAACAGCACCACATCTGGCGTCACAGAGATCTTCTGTTACTGTGCTTTCTTCTTAGAGGAAGTACAGAAACACGTAACTCTGTTTTTTTTTTTTATGTTTGAGGTGCAATAAACGACACAGCAGCTTTTTGGCATGATAAAACTATTATTTTCTGCCTCGCTCATGAGAGTAACAGCTGGCAAAACTACAGCCTTGCCTACTGATTTCAAATGTGTGCTCTAAAATTATATTTATAAATGACTATTATCATTATTATAAGCAAGACAATAAATGGCAAAGATATGTAGAAAATAAACGTATTTAAGATACGTTCATAAGAAACGTAACGTGGGAGAAAATATGTTTCTAGAAGATATGTAGAAAATAAACGTAATTGAGATACTTTCATAACGAACGTAACGTGGGAGAAAATACGTTTCTAGCTAAACGTAATTGAGAATGCAGTTTAGTTCCGTGGGAACGTAATTTTTAGGAGACAGGATTGTAATCGTGATATGCGCATGCGCGATATTCAAATCGCGTGGACGTGCGATTCTTTTAATTTTTTGTTTTCTCATGTCAGGGGTACTTGAGTGAGTGACATGCAGGCTCTGCATGCACAGCAAACCACAATCAAATCTCCAAATTAGACAGACCCGGTGATCAAAGGTAAAAACACTGAATAAAGTAGGTTCATGTGTTTCTCAAAGGCAGTTCGGCGCTGCTGACCGATGCGCGCACGCGCGTGCGCACGCACACACGCACGCACACACACACACACACCCACACCCACACCACACACACACACACACACACACACACACACAGGCAAAAACTAAAGTGCATGTAAGCAGCAAATGTTTGCACTCGGCATGAACACACAGGTAGGCGGATTTATAATGATAAACTAATGGAATAAATAATCCTATGCCATCGTTACATGTGCAGGTTCTTCCTGCTAAACGATTGGGATCTTAACTCAGCTAATTATGATGAATCACTAGATGAACAGCAACAATAATGGACTCCCATCTTCAGAAATGTTGGCAGGAGTGAAAGTAGAGAACCAAGTAGAGATACGTTTTGAGCATTTCTCATTTAGATTAACCTCCTCGAAGTCACTTGTCCCAGCATGGTGTGAAATAAGACAAGATTATTGGAACAGATGTTTCAAATAAGATGGGAGATAATAACCAGGGGATGGGTCCATGCGAATGAGCAAAGTCTGATGGAATAGAGGAGGGGAGAACAAACTGGAGACATGCAATGATTCTCAAATTTCTAATTTACATTGAAATGTTGCACCTCCCCAAGCTGAGCTCTGCTTCCTCATTTACATCAGCCCGACATCTATTACATCTTGTTTCACACAAAGCTCCTACCGCCCACCTTTATTCACAATGTGATGAGCGCGCGCACAAACCCAATCAAATACATATAGTACACACAGCTCTGTCTCATCACATCTGTCAAACAGTGAACATTTCATTTGACACATTGAGATAGATGACTCCACTGGCACATGATGGCAAGGCAAGACGACTTGATTTACAGTCAGAAGTCATAATTATTCAACTACATTAGCACGTTGGTTTTTTGTTTATGTATTATGTATGTAATGGCATTCTTCCCAAATATAGTCTTAAACTGTAAACCTAAATTACATTTGAGTAGGATAGCCATCAAATTGAGTAAAGTATTTTTTAAATAAATTAAACTGCAATTTGGTCATAAGGCTAAGAAGCTAGGCTACTTCATTACATTACAGGTTTCCCAAAACCTTGCTAAACATCAGTTTCAAAGAATTTTCAGGTTTAATTCCCTAAAATGTAAGAACTTCCCATCCTTTAAGACACACATATCAAGGTTTATTACCATTGTACTTCCTCTAGACAGGTGGAGCGTCAAACAATTATACATTTGCAGGAGACACAAGCGGAAAAGATCCTATTTACTAACATTAAGTAAAAGAAAAAAATCAAAAAATGTTAATTTCTTCTTTTCGCACAAAACATACACATTCAAGCACTTGTTTGTCTTTGTCTATTTTCAATTACTTTCAAGGAATTTGTTTTCCTTTAAATTAATAATTTATGTAAGCATTTCAAGGTCCTGTAAAACCCTAAGGAAGAGGGAAAAGAAAACCTTAAGAAGATCAGTTATTTCAGGAAACCAATCAATAGTCGTTTATCAAATTCACATATTTGGCAATAGGTAGAACTAAGAATAACCAGCTGATAACCAGGATAGTTTACTATAATTACATTTGAATTTGAAGTCATTATTCACACGAAAAAAAACTGCATTTCATTCAGTGCATACCTAAATAGTAGTTTGAACCTCAAAGATAATAATATAAAATAACCTGTTGTTACCATATGATTGAGAGATGGCAGGGTTTTAAAGATGACTATGACACTGTATGTGCAGTGGTCTATACTTTGTCACAGTTTCTTTTTCTGCGGTATTTACTGTATGGTAATTCACTTTGAAGTGACTACAGCAGACTGGAGTGCCTATGATTGCAATATTATTTCATTATTTGCAAGTGCATGAGAATCTGCTGTCTGGGACTGTATTTGTGAGCACAGGTATCAACATGTGTTTGTGCGTTTGAGTGTGAGTGTGAGTGTGTGTGTTTGTGTGAGTGTGTGTGTGTGTGTGTGTGTGTGTGCGTCAGTGTATCATGTCGCATGTGCGAGGCTGCTGTCATCTCCCTGAGTGGTGTGTGGTGTGTGGGTGTGTGAAGAGGACACCAGATGGGGGTCTTACTTCATGGAGGACCTTCACCACACACACACACACACACACACACACACACACACACACACACACACACACACACACACACACACACACACACACACACAGAGTTTCTCCTTCTGCTTCCACAGATCACAAAGTTGCAACACACTCATCATTATAAAGTTGAAGCCTTGATCGTCCTTCAAACATTTGGTGGCACAACATGATTTGTCTCGTAGTCTTTGTTCACGACACATGACATGTCAGCCTTTGAAGTAAAAGCCTTCAGTAGTGGAGAGCCACAACCATTGTTCCACAACATGCATGCATTAAATGCCTTTATTAAAGCCTAAAGCTGGAATTAACTTTTTTAATTTACCATTAAATTAATATAAAAATAAAACAATCAACAATGAATTCACCCTCCAAACAAGTGCTGAGTGACGCCATTGAGTCATATAACAGATACATTACCTTAAAGAACCATAGCGATTATATGACACATTCATAACAATGACTGTAAATGTAAATCAGTGGCAAAGCTGCTTCCTGGTCAAGGTACATGACTGGATTGAATAAAGTCGTGCAGTTGTTCAGAAAAAAAAAAAAAAAAAGAAGTTTGTTTTGCTCTAATTATTATTTTTCTTTAGTGTTCGGAAAACAAGACATTGGTGTTCAATGCGAGGGGTTATGCTACTGGGTGATAGGATTTATGATAATTAGAGGGTTTATCCTGATTATAGTTCAAACGAAAGTAGCATTATCCTTAAGGAGTGTATTTACTCATTTATCCAACTACTCCATACACATTAATACAACATATCCACAGATGACTTACCACAGTTTGCTTCATCAGATTTATCCTTGCAGTCTGCATCTCCGTCACACTTCCAGTTCATGTGGACACACTCCCCGCTCCCACACTGGAACTCTCCCACCGGGCAGCGAGGTTTCTGGGGCTCCGTCCTCCGGCTGCAGCGCTCCATGGACTCGTCCGACTTGTCCTTGCAGTCGGGGTCTCCGTCGCAGCTCCACAGGGCGGGGATGCACTCGGAGTCATTGCAGCGGAACTCGTGCTGGCCGCAGGTGGGAGCCTTGCATTTCTCCTCATCGCTGGCGTCCCCACAGTCATCGTCGCCATCACACACAAAGATCGGTGCCACGCACTTCCCATTACGGCACTGGAAGTCTTTGGAGGGGCAAGCCTTGGCATCTAGGGGAAGAATGGGACAGGCGGAATGGAAGAAAGACACAAGCGGTTATATAAAATGTACTTTAAATCCCATTATTCTCTCAAACTGGATTGAGCTGCCATAAAACGACATCCACTTCAACTTATTTTGGAAGCAGACATTAGTGGGTAGGGAGTAGATGTGAGAGAATGTGAGTCAGAGGACAGATATAGTTAACTTAACACTGCATATATTCAAACTTTGTGGGGGAGTAGGAATGTGTGCTGAAATAACTTTTTATCGGTTATCTGGCGATGGGGTGAAATATAAATGTTGTAAAAACGTAATGAGCAGAGGGCAAATAGAGATGTTCCTTCTTTTCTCTGGGGCTTTTGCTTTCTGGTGAGAGTAAAATAAGGAGTATGAACTTAAGACAAACTGGTGACTCTGCATGGTGCTGTGGAGCATCTTTTTAAAGCACTCAGGCCTTGGAAGTTGGACAGTAAAGGAGGATATGCAGTAACAGATGTACAACGAGATAGAGTCAGGGGAAATAAATTCAATAAAACATAAAAAGGTTATTAAATGAAATAAATTGTTTCAACTGCAACAACAAATTCCCAACTCTTTAAACATAAATGCACTGAAACCCAAAAAAGAAACGCTGCATTGAACCATATTAAGCACAAGGTCGTGAGCATATGTGCAGCAGAAGTCCAGAATGTGGAAGCAGGTGTATAATGAGCAGAGAGGAGGCACAGCTGCAGGTGCCTGCCGCAGTGCAGAGTGTGTTCTTTGGTTTTACTGGCAAACTGCATGTTTCCTCTTTGCCATATCCCAGCAGTGACAGTATCTAATTGCAGTCAGGTTGGACAAATCAATTTAAATCATGTATTATGCTTAAAAAAACTCTTGTCATTTGATGTTACTTATCTCTGGGCAACAAATATAAGCGCTTCACTTTCTTTCTCCTCCACCTACCCACACAGCGCGCCAGAGGGACTCATTATGATAATAGGCTATTGGATTCCCTGCTAGCTATTACTGCTAGCATGCTAATCATCCCCACTCAGATCTAAGTAATTTAATTAACATGAGCACATCAACAACATCAGCAGCATCCCAGCAGAAGCTCAGGTGGTTTGGGGGTCATGTAGGGTGCTTGTGCAAACAAATACGGGGCAAAGTTAAAAAGCGATTATTTTTAAAACTTTCTGTTCTAACAGCCATAGGCTTTTTGTTTATGAAAATCATAAAAATATGTAGTTGTATTCCAGAGGGTGATGAGGGGCTGGTAGTTAGACTAAACATTGTGTTTTTTTTAAGCTTTAAAGAGTTTTAGATTAAGGCAGGGAGCTTGGTCAACCAGGTGTGCTAGCTGTAAACTTTAAGGCTGGAATAAGAAATGTGTTAGTATGGTTCCCACTGGGATATTGAGCTACAAAACAGATAGTTTGCTTTCAATAGCTTTATTTCCACTACAGGAACAGACAGAGGGCTTAAATGTCATCGAATGTTATGTCCCATGGATACAATAAAACAGATTTAGCTTGGGATTGCTACAACAAAGGTGGTATTAAACCCATTCTTTCACAAAATCCATATAGGAGGTTTGGGAGGGCGTCTATTCTCTTTAGGTTCTACCCCTATCCCTAGATCCGTGGATAAATCTCAACTAATTCATTCGTGACTGTCATGCCGATACAAAAACATTGAAGCCTGGTCAATCTGGTGACAAAAAGCAAAAATGTAGCTTTAGTTTACCAAACATACTGTCGGTAAACAAAAGTCAGATTGTGGTAGGAATCAGCTTTTTCTAAAATAGCACTATGTATCTATGTTACTATGAGTTTCTGATGAATCATTATTTTGTATTAATAAACAGACAAGTGAAGAGTGATTTATGAGTTTACATCTGATCCTTTACCAATAAGGAATCAGTACTAATTATTGCTAAAAGCACTGATTTAAATGACAACCAAGTTGAATAGTTTAAACGATCATTGCTGTGTGCTGTATCTATGATCACTGGTATTGGTAATGGCGTAATGTTTAACTATATGATACCATAAAACTGTAGATTTTGGTTTTCAGAGAATAAAATGCCACCTGTCTGCTGCAATTCAGTTATTTCTTTTCTGTGGGTCCACTGAACCAGATATTTAGGCCATTAACTTCTTCTATTGACTATCATTACAATAAACTATAAAACATTTGAGTGCCGTTTGTGCTGGACAAAAGTAGAAAGAAAAATGGTCCTGTCTTTGACAAAAAGCAATTTCCCTTTTATTTCTGCTTGAAGGTAATCCAGAAAAAGTATTTCAAGATATAAGATGAGCAGATTTGCAATATTGCTTTCTGAAGTACTTATATTATTGACCTAAAATACAATATTTGACATGTATCAGACCATAAACTGTTCTGTTCTATACCATTTTTCAGGGACTCCCCACAGTGTATAGGCTCAAATCAGCTGTGTGTTACTTCAATCCCTTGATCCTATCACCTGGCTACTTCAAAGCTGACACACGCCGAGAGGACTTTCGCAGATCAGTCAGTAAAAGCGGTGTCTCGATTAACAGAGGCCAAAACCAATCCTCAGAAACAGACAAGGTAAAGGTTTTAAGGAGACAGGTTCTCGGAGGAGCACCAAGGGCGGTAGATCTTTTGATAGAACGAGAGTACAAATGTCCTTTCCCACCATAAGGGACCTATCCCAGGCAACAGCAAGTGGGCAGATTGTATAGCAGATAACGGCGGAAAAGATCGATGGTATGATGCGAAAGGTTATAGATTAGATATAGTGGGATTAAAAACACTGTAAATGTATTGCATGCTATAATGGTAAAAAAAAAAGATCCTACTAAATTCAACCAATAAATAAATGTTGAGATGAATAAGGCTATTTGACTGAGCTGGAATCCCCACAGTAAATTAAACACATCCATCCAATGGAATAAACAACCAATTACAAATTTAAACAGGTAATCGGTAATCTGATTACATCTTGGCAGTAACTTCCCCAACCGGCAGGGGATTGGGTTTAAGTCGGGGTCGAAGCTTTCCATCCATCCATCCATACCTAGACCCTACAGGGGACAGCTAATAGATCGAGCACTGAGATAGGGCACAGCTCAATGACCTTGATCTGAAGGATAATTGAACTCTCTTCCAGCATGGCCTCGTCCAAAGGAAGTGCCTTTGCACACAAACACACACATACAGAAATAGATGATATTCTCGGAACACACTTGAAAAGGCACAAACAATTATACATGTGTTGACTAGTTCCATTATAGTGCTCAACCAAGTATTCTAACTCATGCAATGCGCAGGAACACACATGAACACACACTTCACTTCAACCTCCCTTCGAAACGCTGGGTTTAATGTTTCTGGAGCGTGGAATCCAATCAGACTCTGTTCTAACATGTCAGCCACCCAGCCATGGTGTGGGTTCAACTACACCTGTGCACAAGCATACACATAATTTCCCCGACATACACATGCTTTTCACAAACCTTTGTCCACCAGGTGTGCGGGCGGGAAAGCAACTTGAAGATCACAGATCAGCTCTAACGATCGTAAATATAAATTGCTCAGTGATATTCACCACCATTTTCCAATGCAGCATTTAACCGGAAACAAATACACGTCCACTTTACAATCTGCACATAAAAACAGACTGTAACAGCTGAAGGCATTTTAGCGGAAAGTTTGCTGAATGAGCCTTATATAAAAGACAACTATCATGTACATCTCATCAATATCAATATGTATGCCTTATCTTTCACAAAAGAGCATCAATAAAAAACAAATGGGTTGAGTCAAGCATGGCTTGAACTGTCAGATAAACAATCGCAAACAAATCACTGTATATTTTCATTACGATTGATGGGAAGAAAAAAAATTAAAGAGGAGGGAAAGTTTCTGTTCAATTATTCACCATTTCTTTAAAAACATACGAGCCCGAACCACAGCCAACCCTTCAGAGTGTGTTTCCATCAGGGCTGTGCAGGACAAGAACCCAGTGCCTCAAAACAGTATTTACACATAAAGCTCAGCACTAGACCGAGGGGGTTCTTCAGAGTTTTCTGGTTTGAAGGTAATTTGAGATCAGTGTTAGTGCATGACCTGTTGCTTTGCAAAGTGTATTCTCTATTGAGACCCTAACCTTATAAAGCATGAACACCAAAAACAAAGGTAAAATGTCATACACTCGGAAAAACAAACAGACTTTCTTTTATCCGAAGAAGCTAAATGCAACAAAAGAACATTTGTAAAAGATACAATAACAGCTCGAGCAGTGGAGGAGGCAAACTATTATCGCTTTCAGTCAGTTAGGTCCCTGCATGACAACCTGCTCCGGATGTAACAAAATCAATAAATCTCTGTATCCATCTCTCTTTCATATCAATCTATACTTTTAATGTACAGTGACTAATGAATTGAAACTGACGGTGCAATGCAGCATTGTTTCCTAAACGGTAAACATGCTCTCTGTCAAGATCTCACTAATGATGGCTGACCTACTTCACCTCCTCCACAAATAATGTACAGTATATATACAGGAATAAAGTTAATTATAAAATCAGTGTGCAGCTACCTAACACCTCTTTTTAGGTATCTGTAAACAAAGTGCCAATTAGGGTTAGGGTTAGGGTTAACCCTAACCCTAACCCTCACCCTATAAAGTAACACTTTCAATGACTGCAATTGTCTATGCTTTATAAAATATACTTATCATTTGGTAATGACAAGTATGACTATAGTTTAAGCACTTCTAAATATTCATAATGCCTTATAACAATAATCATAGCACATTATAAAGCATTGTTATAATGATTTTAAGTAAGTTTATGATGCATTATAGTCATGGTAGTCATATAAAGGGTTACCCAAGTAATGTAGAAATGACTATCATTTCCTTGCACTCCAACTCTCGCCGGCGCTCTGACACATCTTTATGTATTGAGTCAGTATTTTTATGACATTTGGCTAATGTAGCATTTGCTATGTATCAAGCACCATTAGCCTTGAT